TTCATGGATCAAATCAATTATTGATGTATTTAATATTATATAAAATATCTACTCAAGTATCGCTTATAAAGCACTTCTTTAAATACTTTTCCTTGTATGGGGAAAGAAATTTCACTTTGCAGGAGTATGATCCAAATTTTTCTGATTTTATCTAATGTTCAAACTGTTTTTCTGTTTACTTAGAATAAACACACTTGCCCAAATGTTAAAACCCCAAACAAAAGTAGAAATGCATATGATGAAGCAGTGCCTACATAAAGACAAAAAAACATGGTTTATTACATTTACACTGAGTATTAGATAATCATAAAATTCTCTCTCTCTCTTGTTGACATAAAAGTATTTTATTAACAGCTATGTGTTAAACTTATATGACATTATCAGAACTACTGAGATGCCACACTCCAAGCTAATTATGAGCCAAATACACTAAATTTGCATTTGAATCCTAAGTACATTGCAGCACAGGGTTTATATATGCCACAGCCAATCAGATACAGTCAAAATGATAGAAGTGTGGTATCTCAAGGATTACCAACAAAACAGAGAAGTCCAAACCTTCAAAAACAGGAGGCTTGCAGATCTCATGTGTTGGTGTGTTTTCCAACAGATGCTATAGTTGGGCCACAAAGAAAGGACAAAGATTTATACGAGGAATGAATATTTAATTTAAAATTCAAGATATAGTGTAAATAAATATTGCATATCCAACTTTAAATCTACCATGCATTACTTCACTAAGAATTCAGGATATTAAGTCAGCACAGCCATCCACAAGTAGCTCCATGAACTGCTAATCGTGAACATAATGCAAGGTACTGGCTCTTATGGTGCTTCGAGCACTGAAACTGAAGCAAACTGAAATAAAAAAAAAAGAATCTGGGTATTCATCAGTTGCTTCAGACAGACGTGAATGGTTATCATAACAACCTGGGGAATTCACTGAATATGACTGTGTTGTCCCAACTTTAAAAAGCTAGAATCATGATGCGAGCTAGTTCCAGAACATTTAGACTTAGTCCTCTTCTAACAGTTAAGGAAGCCATGAATATTTTGTATATGTCATAACATTCTGGACAGTGTTGCACTAATGAAATTCTGCAAGTAAATATGATACTTCTCTTGACTAAAGAAAAAGTAGTTTGTGCAGATTCATTAGTTTAGATCAAAAATTATTGCTGAACCAAAAGTATTCCATCAACTCAGAATCAATAGAAATAAAGAAAACATGCCCAGTAATGAAATGGGATCATGAACTAATGAAACTGGATCTGAACTTTCCTATTTGAAAGTTGTTTTTTCAAATTATATAGTAGATGATGACCCTTCTGGCCCAGTTTTAAACTGAAAACACGAGATATTGTTTGTCATATGTATCCATACTGTTTTACTCAATCCCTTCAGAAAGACAAGCTTGGCTTGTCAAAACTGATCAGTTGTTTCATATTTTTTTTAAATTCTTTAATCATTTGTTCATTATTATGCTGATGTACTACTGTTGTTTACTTCTTTTGCCTTTATAACGAACCATATTCTACCAAACACTATTTCCAACAATGGTTTAAGACAAAAAAGAAAAAAAATTCAGAAACTGCTTTGGTCAGCTTAGAATGCCCAATTGAATACAAGTGAAGTACCCAAGAACATCTTAAAACATTGTCTATTACACAAAAAGGAAAATCCTTGAAATCTCCTTACTCTTGGAGCTGCTTTGAAAAAGAAGTGGTAAGCTATTCCATTAGAAGTATATTAATAATTGCTAAAAAAAGTGTTAGAACAAAAGTTGACCTATAACTAACATTAGAGATGGACCAACTGCCTATTAAAATGTGGCTAAAACAGCAAAATATAAGAATATAATATAATGGAAGTAAAATAAGCACAGGGTATGATGTTTAGTACAATCAAATGTGGTATTGTTTTTCCACATACAGAAAAACGAATCTGAATACACTGAAAAGAAAATATATCTTTATAATCCCTAACATACATGTTATCAGCTAGAATACAGAACCATCTAAAAAATTTGTAAAAAACACATTCTTGTTTCCAATGAAATTCAACTTTACCAAGAATCAAGCAGCCAATCCGAGTACAGTTGAAAAGAGGAAACAAATCATCAGACTATTCAGAATATATAATTCTATTTAAATTAGACTTTTCAATGACTTAGGAAGAATTCTTGGTAACAGAAATACAAGACAGAAGCAAACAGCTTGTCCCATCATCTAATTTACTCTAATAAATCCTTATATCATTATTTAACATGTTATATACTGGTGTATTAGTAAAAATAAAACATACCAAATTTAATACCCCATATTTTTGTTGCAAATATATAAATAACATTATAATGTCAAGAGTAATGAAGAGAAACTGGTTTAAACAGCTTTAGCAGAATTATTTATAAGAATAAAATCATGTCTAGATTTTGATAAATTGAGTTACACAAAAGTATTATTTTCACATAACAATGGCCAATCGTGAGACTTTCATAAACCTACTGTTCGTAATGTAATTTAAATCTAAGAAGAAAACACATAAGTCCTATAAACTTGAATTCTGAATTTGTTTGTTATGAATTTCCTGCAAAGCGACACGAGGGCTATCTGCGCTAGCCGTCCCTAATTTAGCAGTGTAAGACTAGAGGGAAGCCAACTAGTCATCACCACCCACCACCAACTCTTGGGCTACTCAATTACCAACGAATAGTGGGATTGACCATCACATTATAATGCCCCCACAGCTGAAAGGGCAAACAAGTTTGGTGTGATGTGGATTAGAACCCATGACCCTCAGATTTCGAGTTGAGCTCCCTAACCACCTGGCCATGCCGGGCCAATTCTGAATTTATAGTTAATTTATTGCAAATTCTCCTAGCTAAATCACCTTATATCAGTATGTTGCTTTTAAGCTCATTACAATCAGACACACAATCATATAATTAAATGAGTTTCCCTTCTTTTTCCTATACTCTAGAGAGAGAGAAATGTACTTCAAATTATGAGGTAATTGTTTTTACATATCTAACAGCATTATATTGTACTTTAAAGTGAACCAATGGCAAAAAATTTTTAAAAGTAAAGACTGCCTGAATAGCAATTATGAAACTAAATATACTATTAGCACTCATTTTGTTCAGACCAGTTTACAGATCATCACTGCAACTTTATTTTTATGAATTGTAAAGCATGAGATTAAATCTTATCAAGCTTTAGGGATAAAAACAGTGGTTTTTCTGAATAATACTTTCTAGCTGAAATTTTCCTTCATATGTTTGCTTTTATATGTATTATTATTATGGGGTCACCTAGCAGTATTTATGTGTAGTTTGAATAATAAAACCATACTTCAAAGAATAAAAAGTCTTAAGTCCTGCAGTTAACGTATCAAGAACTAATATGATGCCATATCACATACTGTGACAAAAAAAAAAGTATATAAAAATATTACCAAGAGTTTGTTGAATACAATTTCAAGACACTTCTGATTTTCTTCCACATTTACAGCACTAGGTGACATGTCTGCTAGCAGTTTTAACAACTCCAAAGTAACATCTACTCCTTCTTCTATGGTGGGAAGATTTCCTAGCACTGGGACAACTTGGTTACAGACATACTGAACAAACCGACCTGAGCTGACATATGGCTAAAATATAAATAAATAAGTTTTAAATATGAAACTATACAATAATTATCAGCAGTTTTATATTAGGTGTATATGTTTATTCACCTAATAGCAAATTCTATTACATTCTACTAAACATTCCTCAGGATGTTTTGAAAAAAAGAAAAAAAAAAGAAAAGAAGTTATAACATATATTTCATTTTGGCTTTGTATATTTACATATAGGAAAAACACTAATTAATCTGAACTTCAATTCATCAATCATGTTGATATACTTTTACCACTTGAACTTCTTAAAAAACAGACAGTATAATGCTTTAAAAAAATTCTTATGACAATTGCTTTTAGTAGCATATCAGATGATTCTAATGTGCTGAAATTTACAGATGGGTTTTTTTTTGGCCAGCATATTCAGAACATAATAATGATTTTTATAAATAAATCTTAATTATTCCAAAATTTTCAATCATAATATAATGTACATACCGTGTATACATGTACCCATCTATGTATGTGACATAAATAATAAATACAATGTGGCGCCATCTATCGAATAGTACAATAAACAGGAATCCATAAAAAATTCACATTTTGGGTACTGAAGGTTCAGACAATTAGAAAAATAGCTACAGTATGTGCAACAATCATTTCTTTATCACAGAAAACAATGTTAAATAAAAATACTCTCATCACAACAAGAACACAACTTTCACTTGAACTGCACACGAGGATTTGATTATATCTTTATTGATGTAATTTCTAAATATACTACTATAAAAATGAAGTTCTTAAAAAAAATATTTTTTCTATAAAGGGTACCACTTTTAATATATAAAAAATTTATATCAGCTCAATATGAAAATTTTTACCACGTAGTAGTTCCCAGAAAATTCGTTTTTTAGAAAATAGTTCACTTTTTCTAAATTTTTTTTTTCTATGAGGTATGAATACTATAACTTTAGCAAAAAGCATTTAATGAAAATTTCCAGATAACCCACAAAATTATTTTAACACGAAAAAGGTTTTCCAAAAGCTGGCTCATAAACACAGAAAGGTGCACAACTTAAATGCAAATACTATTTTAAATTATAACTAAAGAACTCAATAAGAATCCATCTAGTCCCTGATAATGAAGGTGAAAATACATCTGAACAAAAAAATAATAATCTATAAAATTACTGTGTGCAGAATTTTTCAAATTCTTCCAAGAAGATTAAGATGTTTATTTTTTTTTTGGAAGGACTGTGTGTGTTATTCAGGAGTCATGTTTGATGTATTATTAATTAGAAAATAAAGTAGAGTGAAAACAATACATGTGGGTGGTTAGTGTTGCACTTAATACACATACCATGATCTAAGGCTATATATATTAGTAATCTCATGTAGATGTACATGTGAAAAGATTTCATGCAAGTCCATAAATACTTTTCTGATTGGATGTTTTATCTATTTTAAAAATAAAAATCCTCACTGAGAATATGTTTAGACAATGAGATTAGGACTTGAATAGAAAAACTTAAATATTCTATTTAAACATAGGTGAAATTAAACTGACAAATACATTAAAGAAAACAGTATAGCAAACTACATGAAATCTGGTTTAAGCTTCACTGCTTGAAAGATTAATAACCAATGAATCATAATTATGTTACGATTGATTTACAATACAAAATACCTATAAAACAGAAAGTTTGTAATAATTAGATTGCAATGAACCTGAGTTAGGTATCCTGATTGTATACTCAGCCAAGATTTTAATAACAGCTCATAAGATTGTTTAAGTTAGGCCTAAATCTACATCCTAAGTCACACAAAGTATACTAATCCTTGTATAAGCATTAACAATTCTTAAATTCTTGACTTAAGTGTTAAGACATTGACATTCTAGTTGTTTTCTTTGACCTTTTTCCATTTCCTCCCACTATTTACCAACCAAATGTTCTATGACCTGTACATTTTCTTTGCAACATGCTAATATGATTGATCATGTGCCTTATACCCTCTATCTGGATAATCCTAGCCCAAACTAAACAAAAGTAATGAAGATGATTATAAACTAATCTTAACTTTTTGAAAAATAATTATCAAGTTCAAATTTGTGTGCAATTAATAATTATCTAGATTTCTCAAAAAGATGCAATTTGTCTGTCCATAGAAATCTATAAAAAAAACTATACTGCACCATCGAACACTCCAGACTTACAGACTGACTCCTTTAAAAAAAAGTCATTAAGATTAATTCTTCAATGTCAAATGTTCTAAACATTTACCTGCTTAAACTTCAGTCACGAATTTAACAACAGCAAGTGGAAAATGTTTTTAGATAAAAAAAAAATCTGTCACACATTTAAATGAGTCTACCATCTACTTCATAATTTGTGGTCTTTGCAATCTTTGATATATTTATATGTATCTTGGTGATACAGGTTGCAAAATCAGTGAGAGATTTTTGTGAACAAGAAATACATATTGTTAACAGTAATATTGATGAGCCAGTGCACTGACATTTTTGCAATGACAAACACAATCCTTCACATCTCAAACTAGTTGTCTTAAGGTTGAATGTTAACAAGAGGAACAGTCTTATTTATATCCTAGGAACACTTTCTCCACCAGGTTTAAACAAAAACATTTCCTCAATTTATGTTTCCTTCTGACTAAGTGTTGTTTTTATGAGCATTTACTGCAACCTAAATGCCCTACATTCTCTCGTTTCTTTCTCTCCCCTTTTTGTTTTTAACCGATAGTTTAGTAAGATATATTAACTTAAGAAACTTTCAAGTGCCCCAATTACACTTTCACTATAAGCCAAATAAAGACTATTATTTCCAATTAAAATAGATTTTATTTTGAACATTCAGAATATTTATTCATTACAGTGGGTACCTGTTAATTGCAATTGTACATTACCAGCTCCTTAACTAAAATTGAGCAAAAACTGCAAATAGCAGTATTTATTTGTCTGTATAACTAACAGGTATTACCTTACGAGCTGTCTTTGAATGGCAAATATTTGATTATTTCATACACGGTAGTTTGGTTTATGACACATTCTATAATACTGTTATCATTTGGTTTTGCATCCCTCTCTCTCTTTCTTTCTTTTTATAAAATAATTTTAGCCAATTGCTGATGAAAAACTTAGGCTAGAAGTTTTGTGCTGAAGATGAAATTAAGAAAATGTTTAAATGTCTATGTTCTTATGATTTTAGATTCCTGGCAAACAAGTCTTGAGCATATTGTATAGTAACAATATAATTCCAACAATAACTATGCAACACATGTTTGTTTGCAGATGGAGGTACATAGTTCAAAGTTTGTAACTCATCAATATTGCTAAGTCAGTATACTTCCCATTTTTTGAGGGTTTTGGAATGGTGGGGTTAGACTTTTCCAGGACCTACTTATAAAATAAAAATTGATTTTCTAGGACTTCCATCACCTGTGTAAAGCATGTACTAAGATCCTTAGAAAATATCCAATTATTATTAAAAAAAGTATTTCCAGTTGTGTCACATGAGAATGAGCATCTGTGAAAAAAAACTAGAAACTTCGATAGTGGAGATATGTCAAGGGTGAAGAGCACACTAAATCAGCCAAGTTTACCACACTTGGATAAGTGGTTCAAAAACCACCATCAAAAGTGGGTAAGCATGTAATGCATATAATATCCAGACAGAAGTATATGCTTACACTCTCTATGAGGCTACTTTTGCCCCAGGCAGGGTACATTAAACTTGAAACAGTAGACGATTCCTAGGAGACTACTTTTGCCTGAAACAGTGTTATATATATTTTTTGTTCAACAAGTAAGGATTTAGATACCTCCAATAAATGGTTCTTTTATATATACATGTTTTTTTGAAAAGACAACTTTTGGACAACTCTAGTTGTAATACAACTACTAATTTTACTACATACTAAATGTATAGGGCCTACCTTTTTTTCTTTCTCAGAATTAATAAATTTAACTAATTACAGTGTTCTCACAATATAGAATAAAAATATTAAAATTACTAAAAATGTTACAAATACTACATAGTTATATTTTTAAAAGACTTATCCTCTAAAGTAACTTAACATGGCATTATTATACAACATTTACCTCTCAAGTTCATCTATATATATACAGACTTAACTTTATTTTGAGTTATGGTTTAACATATTCTTGTTTGGATTTTATATGAAATATAACTGGCTATATCATTATTCTGCACAAATATGTGGTTTAAATCATCAAATTATTTTTAGTGATTTTAGCTTCGTGTCTATCAAATGAGTAATAACAATGGTTCTCTAATGTTATGGTTTTCAATGGACATAAAACGACGTCTTGTGAACAAAGTTTTTACAGACGTCTACATTGCCTTTTTTTTAAATATTTGACATACTTGTTACTTATTAACATTATTTTGATAAGCATTTATTTAAAATTTCATTCCACCTTTAGAAAACAAACCCTACATTGCTTAAAAAAATAAATAAATGTGGAATACAAAAGACACTTGTTAAATTGTAATTTTTTCTAATTTAAGAGTATTTCTAAATGTTCAATTGTTTCTGTAATTGTTTTTAATTAAACCAATGACTGTCGATCAGTTTGTTCTGTCAGTGTTTGAAAACTAAACATAAGCTTCAATTCTCTCAGAACTTTTTAGTCATTTTTACTTTAATTGTTTTTAATGATTATTTTAGGTGACTTTATTCATCATTCTGACACATTTGCAAAATAAAACAACACACAATCTACATTTCAAAGTGAATTTAGAATTAGTTGAAAATTTCCTAAGGCATTTTTTGCAAAGCATGAATAATATAAAATAGTAAACTTACATTAAAAAAGGGCATAGCTTGCCTGATACACTGCATAACCCTCACAACACTATCAGAATCAGTGTGCTGAAAAAAACAAATACAGTATTTTGTACAGTTTTATGGCGGAACGAAGTCAAACATTTTACTGCAACCATTAGAATATTTAAGATATTTACCCTAAACTTGAGCAAAGTTTTCATAAAAAACAATGCAGAAAAAGTAAACACACACACAAAAAAATTCATTAAAAACTTTACAAACTATACTCTCAAACAGCAACCTGATCAAATTTAGTTTAGACTTAATCAAAAGTTTCATACAATACCAAATTTATGTGTAGTTTCTAATTATTATTTATATATTTGTAACCTGACACATATGGCCAATTTGCTAAATTTCCTTTATATATTTATTTAGTAAAAACATCAGAACAAGGTGAAAAAAAAAGTTTTTTCTCACGATATTGGTCAATCTAGAGTAAAACTGGAGATGTTATGCCTAACTCACTAATCAGTACTTTTCGAGCAACACTGTCACAAACAAAGTAAAATGCAAAAGATCTTTTGTGTTTAAAAACTTTTTATAATGACAATTTTTACCAACAAAATATAAAATTCTGAATTTTTAAAAACAGTCTTTTTAGTTTTTCAACAGAATCAGTATTCTAATAATTACTGATATAGAACTGTCGTTCCCCTGAGAGACGATCCGTTTTTCACACCTCTGATACAGATCATTAATTTTTAAACCCAATGACTTCTTTGAGTAATCACTCTTCTCCTCTAGACATCATTAATATTCTTGCTAAAGGCCTGTTAACTTATTTCCTTTCTTTTCTTCCAAAGTTAAAACTATTTTGATTCTTTTAACACTCTCACTACAGACATCCTTTTTTGCACATGTTACAAGGTTTTTCTGAGTTACATTAAAAATTTAATTGAACTACTTTCTTGTCATGGTATATAAATAAATTTGGTTAAAAAATATAACTAATAACCCAAATTTTAACATTATATAAAGTTCATAACTTTATATGACAATATTTAAAACAAATCCCAAATTTCCCCTAGTATGAAAATTGTGACATTTGCTCTCTAGGTATCCCCTCTTCTCTAATTTATTTACCACCCTTTGGAGCAATATGAAACTTAACATAAATTACTCATTATAATGTTGTCATGACTCAGGTACGGAAATAATTTTTAAAGCCTTCGATCTTATCTAGTTACAGAGCTATCAAACAGAAAATCAGAACCCTCTTAGCATGCCAATCTCTTACATCCTCTCTCTCAGAAATTGCTAATAGTTCTCTCTGACGTTCAATACTATATTATTTATAACCAATAGAAAGCCAAGGTTTTCATCTATCAAATGATGTATTATATTACATTGTTTTCTGTAAACAAAATTGCCAATTTCACTGATAAAAACACACTGATGAGCTCAGACGAATTTTTAACAGCTCTTGTCAAATAGTTAAAAAGCCAGAAAAATTGTGATAGTTATAGGATATTGTTTGCCTTTTGGATGTTATTATTCTGTGTTCTTTGGTGCATTATTTAATTAAATAAAAAATTATTTATTGCATTAGTATCATCAGTATAAAAAGTAGAGTTAAGTTTAATTGACAGTCAACAGACAAAAAAAAAGAAGACCTAAGTAAGTACTATATTACTTGTTTTTTGTTTCTTTATTTATTATTATAAAAGTAGCAAAAATATAAAAATTAGAAAGTTTTATTAAGTTAGATAACTTAAGGTTAAGAGTAGGTAAAATAAATAATAATAATAACAATAAAAAATGTGCATGAAGTACACTTGCGAGCAACTTGCATTATGTAAATTCATAGGGTAAAATGAGCTCCACATTTGCCAAGTGATTTACAAATTTTATGGTGGGTTTTGTTTGTTTGATTTGCTTTTGAATTTTGCACAAAGCTACACAAGACTAGAGCAAAAGGAACTTGTCATCACTTCCCACCGCCAACTCTTGGGCTACTCTTTTTACCAACGAATAGTTGGATTGACCGTCTTATTATAACACCACCACAGCTGAAAGGGTGAGCATGTTTGGTGGGACGGGGATTCGAACCAACGATCCTCAGATTGCAAGTCAAGTGCCCTAACCACTTGGTTATGTTAGACTGGTTCAAAGAGTAATAAAACAATAAAATTTAAGTATAAACAGAAGTATACTGTTAGAAGTTTAAAGCTATTTAGGAGAAACAGATGTAGTTTCATGTTGTGATTTAAAGTCATTCTAGAAAGAAAAATATAGCAATTTAGATTTATTTCAAATTTTTTTTTGGTGGTATAGAGTTTGGGTAGAAAAAATATAAAGTTTCACCGATAAAAACAACGTTTAAATATATTTAGGGTTTTTTAGATATTATGCAAATGCAATCTGAGATTTTTCAGATGAATAAAAGTATTTTAATCTTAAAATGAAAATCACTTTGCACTCAGAGCAGCCAACACTTGGACTCCATATATTCATGGAAAATGTTTTAGTGAAAATACTTCATTAAAAATTCTAATTTGTTTACAAATGACTTAATGCTTACTGAAAACTTGCAACATTTTGTAAAGATACATAAAACATTTTAGAAGTTATAGTATCGAAACCCTAAAGGTCAATTTTTTTGGTCAAATTGACCGAGCCTGTAGTGAGAGAGTTAACTTACAGCAACTTACCTCAAACTCTTTGTCAATGTCTAACATATCAACAGCCATATCAACCAATGCTTGCTGACCAGGTATAGTCTTAGAAATTTTAAGACCAGATAAAAGGCCCATCAGAGTAACAAATTCTTCCCCTGTTACATCTTGCATTACCTGCAGGAACCACACACACAAAAAAGGTATGTAACCAAACATTATTTCAATAAAATAATTTTAAAATATAATGTTCTTAAGACTAACATGAATTCCACTTTGAAATATAAAAGGACACCATGCATAATCTCATTACGCAACATACCATATACCAACCTCATAAGGTACCTTTCTCAGTTTTTTTTACCAAGTTTTATTTCATTATTTTAACATAAGACATGTACACAATTTAGAATATTTCACATAAACCTGTCAATTCTACATGTACATTCTACAAAAAACCACTGGGAATTTTTGCAAAATATTTCTAAGAATATTCAGACTAATGATAATCACGTGCAATAAGATTCAGATACTGATTGTAAAATCAAATTTTGGATATATTGACAAAATACATACATAAACGACCACTGTTCTCAGTTACAACATTAAGTGCATAGCATCATTATCTGTCATGTGCTGTGCCTTTGGCATTCTGCATTAAGCGTATTTCAGAACTTCCTTTCATGTGTAGTGTAGTGTGACAGTCAATTTGTTTAGTGTGTGAAATGTTCTTTAACTCTTCCTCAACAAGCTTATTTTTATACACATACAATACTTTACCTCCGCTCACAAAAAGTTAGAATCCCACACTGGTAAGGCGGAAGGTCCAGTGAGAAGATGTTCCCGCTTCAGAAAGTGCCTGAAGGAAGACCATGGGGTGTGAGAACAATAAGCAGAAAACAACACACCTGTGTGATGCTGCACCACTTTTGAGCTAGGTATACTCTTCACCTCTAAGAAATGTGTTGGAAACAGTGCAAAAACAAAGGAGAGACACAGTAGATTTAAAGCAAAGAAGGGACTCCTCTATTTATGGTGAGTCAGAATTTAAATGGAAATTTTATCTCCATCAACACCAGATAGCATCTGGAATTCCTACATCAGGTCTGCAGTAGGAAGAGGGCCCTCTACCTTTTACCTCCAATACGGAAACTGGCAGGGAAGCAGAGCTTACGTACCATTGGTCGGCATCATCATGTGAAAACATTCAACTCAATTATAACCAAATCTGCTGGAAGCCAACATCTGGAGGACGGTAGGAAGATGGACAACAAAGTAAGGGTGCATCTCCAGTCCATTACCAGACAGCATTCGGAATGTATCATCTAGGCCACAGTACGAGGACAGTACCCAGCCACACATATGTGAGGACTTATGCAGTTGGTCAAGCTCCAACCATCATCATATTCACTGAGAACCAACATCTGTGGGATGGTAGGAAGGAGGGTGCCTCAGATAGAGGGGCAGACTGTACATTGGCAGAATGCATCATCCAAAACCAGACAGCATCTGGAATTATTCATCAGATCCAAGGTAGGAAGAGCATCAATGCCATCTACACCAGCAGAATGCAACCACCCTACTCTCAACTAAGTGGGATAGAGCACACTCAGGAGGAAGCCCTCATGGTCTACCACCTCAGTGGCAAGGACCTCATAAACCACTAGAAGAAAGGGGGAAACAGCGCATTGGAAGTTTCGGCAAAATGCAGCACTTGAGACATTGCAATGGGTGACTGTGATACCTTATTTTGAAAAGCAGACTGATTCAGTGACCCACAATAGACAGATCATCAAGGGTGTTAGTCCATGAGTGTACAGATGGGATTAATATCTTTATAAAGCAAAATACAGTAAGGCATACCAACAAGCAGTCTTACAGAATACCCCATCTCAATGGTTGGTGTATTCGACATAAATGTCTTACAGTGCAGATTTAACAATAAATATAACTGGTCAGGCAACACTCACCACTGAGCGAGAACCAAATATGCAACAAAGCCCCTGCAAATAAAATAAAATAAAAGAGAAACGTAGCACAAAATGGCAACTGGAGGATAACAAAACCCTGTGGAACGAAAAACAGATAGGTAGTGAAGATAATGAGCAGTAAATGTATGGGGAGTGGTCCATATATGGGTACCAATAGTGTCCTCCAACTGATGATGGAAATGAGCAGCCAGGGACAGGACAAGGTGACAAATATGAAGAGAAATAGATAGAAAAGACGAAAATAATAATAAAAGTAAGTGAAAAACAGACATGGGACTGAGAAGGATACCAAGGAATAAACAAATGAGAGTGGTAACCATGGATGGAATCAGTGCACGCCCAATAACAAGGCAGAGGACGCAAACAGGAATGGAATGTCATAAGTGAGATATGGAAGGAAGGGTGATGGGTGAAAAGGTTGATCTGGGAAAAACCACATCAGAAAAGTGAAACAGTCCTTTGTTACCAAGCTCATGGAGGAAAAGCAAATGGAATGGGAAAAGAAGTATGTCACATGCCAAAAAACCCATCCCATCAGACTAGGGAAGATGGAGAGTGGGAGCAGACAGATGACACATCACCAGGCCAGGGCACAGAAGGATGGAGAGGAAGAGAAGGCAACACAAGTAGACAGTGCACAAGTGGAAACCACAGAGAAACCATCCAAATTGAAGCCACCAATAGAATCCAACACTGAGTGGTTTGGATGATGGAAAGGACCCTGTAGAGCAGACAAATGGGAGGGTAGGCAAACATAGGTAAAGATCTACCCAATCCAGATTGAGAGCAACCATTGCTCCAGCCAAAAGATGTAGAACAGAAAACCAAAACCAGCAGAGCAAGAAAATGATGCGAGTGACAAAGAAATCCAGATACAGAACACCCTATTGGTCACAGAACCCTCCAAGACACCCGTGAGTCCAGTGACCACTCCATATGGATAATCTTGTCAGGACATGATAAATGATCTGCGATGAGATATAGGGCACTGTGAATATGACAAGCCAACACCAAAATTTGATGGCTTTGGCCCAACACCGGAAGGACAGTGGCTTAAAACAGAGGTGTCTTGACCGAGTTCCCTTTTGCCTAAAGACATAACAGACTACAGATAAGTAGTCAGAAAACACTAAACACCAACTGGCACTGAAGGGCCAGAAGGGAGTTAACCAAAGCCCAAAGAACTGTGAGGAGCTCCCTGGAAATGAGAAGGGGAGAGGACTCCAAGAGAGACCACCATCCTGATACCTTCTGAGCAACCACAAAAGCACACAACCATAAAGGGAAGCATCCAAAATAAGTTACATTCCATACAAGGAGGAAGCAATGAAACACCCAATCCAACCACCAGGCAAAATTGGTCTGGAAGGAAAGATGAGAGAGGCATCCAAGGAATCCCAAACAAGGCTCCTTAGGTCCAACAAATTCACTGAAGGCAAGACATGTGGACACGATCAAGAGGGATGAGGGCTACTAGAGAAGCCCACGTTTCCAAAAGAGAAAACCTCTTCCACAATGGAAGAAGAAGGAGAGGATAGGCTGGAAACTAGAAACTCCATAGCCCTAAACCAAAAAGGGAGAAGATTTAGCCCAACTAAGAAGGAAAATAAACAACCCCCAAGATGCAAGGGGTTGAGGAAAGATGTCCTTATCTTAACCAACCAGCCCGAGCCACTACTCTAAGGAAAAACTGAGTAAGAAAGGCAGGGTCAGCCTGCAAGGAAGCCAAGTGCCCATGTCATGGTGGAAACAGTGGTCCCTGGAAAGGAACAAGACAAGCAAAACTGTTTAAAATAACTCCTGCCCTTCTCAGTGATGAGCCGTTGGGTCAGTTTTTGTATTTCCTAACCTCCTATGGATATTGGGGTTCACTAGAGTTGTTTTGGAGACCAGTTGAGTTCAAGTGTCAGTATACCTCAACCCCCGCGTACTTTGGATGACCATGCTCTGGCATGTCATTGTTCTGACTTACTCTACTTAGGTTTGCAGAGTTTGGTGTTGCTTGTCCCTTTGTGGGGATTGGACCTCCATACTTCATTTTTTCCCCCCCGACACCTATTGTATGTGACTATTCATTGCTCCCATGAGGGGTTCTCATCAAAGAATTGGTATCTCTTCTTCAGTTCTGACTTTGCAAACGTGGCTGATCTGTTGTGAGGTTGTTTTGGATAGGGATGCCCTATTTGTCTCGGGTTCATTTGCCTCTTTCCTTTTTATATATTTTGTGCATGGCAATTTTGTTTTTATACTTGGAATTTTTTGGGGGCATTTGTGAATCTTGGAGCTCAGAGTATTGTCAACCCTGTTGCATACCTTAACTTGGCCTCCCATTTCTCCCACAACCCTTTTGTCCCTGTTCCTTCCCCTTGTCAGTTCTGGCCTCCTGTCTTTCGAAGGTTCGTCGTTGGTCTTTGGGGCACCATTTTTGGGATAACTGGCAGTATCAGTGACTACTGTATGGGCTTAAAATGCTAGGGTCCAGGGTTTGATTCCACATGGTGGACACGCCAGGTGGCCCAATGTGTCTTCTCTCTAAAATATACAAATATTCAAGCTACATCAGACATAGTACAACTAAGAATAAAAGGAAACTAGAGATAAGGATAAAACACAACATACTTAATTGAATAGGTATACAAATGGGAAAGGAGGTCAGGGCACCTCCCCCAAATGACACGTGACTGTGAGGCATAGGCAGGAGGAGGAAAGAAGCAGCTCAAATCCTCATCGTCATGTACAAGAAAACCCTCACATGGTACAAGAGGTTCTCAAAAGCCCGCAAAAAAGTAGCCAACTACCTATAAACCAGAGCTGTTACAATAAAGGTAGCTCAGATGCCATTGAAGTGGCAAGCAAAACAGCTGTAGTAGTTACAGCATCCGAGGTAGAAGCCATGTAGAATTGCATATGTATGACAAGTGGAGCTGACTGGGAAAAAAAAAGAGAAGTTTATCTCCAAAAAGAATTATCAAAAGCTTAAAAAGTTTGAAAAATTAAGGCTTAGGAAAAAAATAAATAAATTACACTGTAAAATTGAGCAATTAAGCAAAAAATCAATCTGAAAACACATCCTAACAGAAAGACTGCCAATCAAGAAGTGATTACAGGTTGCACAGTGTGAGAGGGCACTACTTACGACACAAATTGTGTTGCATTCCTATTGGTGGAGGCTTGCTGCATGATCATTTGCATGTTGTCATGCAGATGTCTCACATTAATACATGTGAGAGTTGGTGGGAGAATCAAGGCTAGTGGCGATCAAAATTTGTGCATATAGAGGGCAGAGTAAGTCAAGAAATATTTTTTGTGAGAGAGGTAAGATATCACATCAGAAAAATTCAACAATGAATTTAAAGAATGCTACTTTTCATTCAAAATTTTTGGTGAGCATAAACCTTTGTATTAAAAGAAATTGTACAATTCCAAAGATATTCAGTTTTAATGAATAGAACACTTCAATAGTAAGAACTTCAATGTGTAAGGCAAAAACTGATCAGTATTATGTAACATAGAGAAACACAAAACACTAAATTTGTCATTGTATTCTTGCAAATCAGATGCTTCAAACAGAACTGACACATCAATAAAATAGTAGGTTTTATGAAATGAGAGGTATTTGGTATTTCTAATCACTTTCAAAGTTGGTAAGGAAATGCCAATACATTTATGAAATAATATCTTTAAATTTTTAAGCCATGAAAAAAAAAAAGAATTTTCTCTGAAGAAAAATTAAGTTTTTAGTGTCCAACCACTACTAAACATTGACCAATATTTTCAAATTTAGTGCGACTCCTAATTTATTCTAACATCAGAAACTTACATTTGATATTTAAGCAAAGCCACAACAGTTACAAGTTAAAGGTTCTGTTTTAACATTTCTTGACAATTACTGACTAGTATAATATGCCCAGAATTTTGGATCATGATGCTTAAACATGTTAAACATTTAAATTATAAAGAACAAACAATCAAACTTGGCCAAGCATTACAAAATACTTTTCATAAAAAAGAGGATTTACTTTAGCAAAAAATTATAGTCAAGTATAAACAAATACAGATTAAAATTAAATAGAACCAATAACAAACCTTTTTAAATAGTGTACAAGTTTCCAATAATACATAATCCTTTTGTTTCTGATGTTTTTTTTTTTACTTCATTTTACTGTACCTTACTTTTATCTATCTGAAATTTGCTAACCATAAATGTATTTTCCTCTTATGATTTAATACGTAGATACATTTTTCAATAAATGTCAATGGTAACTACAATTTTAAAGAAATTACGCTAGCCTTCTACATTAGAGTTATAGCACTATACTTTTAAAATCCTGAAATAATATGTAACAACACAAACTTTCTTTACTGTAAACTTGAGGCAACACATTACAAAATATTTTAAATACACTGTGTGACTTTCAAACTATTAGTAATAATATTGCTTTTTTATTCAAGCAAATTTTATCTTAACCTAAGGTAAAAAACACACACTAGATGTATTTACGAGAATATTATTTTTCTCCTTTTGGTAGTTACACATTTATTCTTTCAAAAACATTTTACCTTTTTAGATTCTTGAAATATGTACTCTTCTAGTTCTTTTGTCATAACATCCGATGGTAAAGCTTTGATTTTATTGTTTAAGAAGCGAATGGCTCTTTCACGAACAATTTCCTCCCCATTAAGTATTTGAGAAAACAGTCCACCTAATGTGTCTAGTAAGAAAAACATTAAGATGAAATTAATTCAAAAAGAAAGTATTTATTACCATAATAAGATTAATGCATTTTATACTGTCACTTCCATAGGCATAATCATAGAGAACAAATGTGAATATGCAGTAACTTATATTGTTCAGTCACAGTAATCTTATACAAAACAAAACATTTGAAATCAGTAAATGTTAATTTTTCAAGAGAAACTTTTGTTACCTCCTTAATTAGAAAGTACTGCACTGATAAGTCCAAAGAAGTGTAATGATTCTCAAATGTTGTAATGAATACTAAAAACAAGGTTTTTCTAGCCTCTTAAGTTACAGTGGTAAAATATATGTCCAGAAATTATATCAACAAGTTTATTAAATCAAGTAAAGCAAATACTGTTTGGTATTAAACTTGTTAATATCATATATATAAAATACTAAACATAAAACCCAGTGCTCTTGGCTGTAAGAAGATAAACAAAATTCCCACCACTTAAAACATGCAAATACGATTTTACATTTTTAGAATTACAATTAATTTCAAACAGATACTTAACTTTGAGAAACTGAAAACCTTTCCTTGTAGAGTTTGAACTCAAACTGTCAACAAAACATGTGAACAAAGATTTCTGAATTACCTTTACACATTAAAAAAGCATGCATCATTTACCTATAATTCTCCACTTTCCCATCTTCCATGTGACCTATTGTGCAAGCATCAGAAGATCTTATATAAGCTCAGCTTTCTCACCATAATTTAGATGTAATTAAAAATTGCAGTTGTGATAAAATTTTGGTTATGGAAGGTATTTCAGAGGTAAGTACCCAAGTAAAATTAATTTTAATTCTAAATATTTAAAATTCAAATCAGGTAGACTTACCTCTGGAATACTAAAAGCAGAATCTCCACAATGTAAAGGAGGTGGGAATTGGAGAATATGAAACCGAAAACATAAAACTACAAGCTACAGGGAAGAAAGATAATAATCTAGACAGCAAGAAATATGAAGCAAGGAAGAGTCTCAGTAGAATCCAGAACCAGAAAATAATTTAAAGAACTAGTTTTCAAGAAGAAAGAGTGAAGTGGACCAGCCTTGTAAAAAGATGATACCTACAGGACACTCAGAAAGAAGGCATTCTTATTAGCAGGGTACCTTCCCGTTGATGACACCGTTTAACCCTTTCACGACGGGCTCGGTATAAAATACACATTAAGTATTTATACTATAACTTTTAATGCTGTATGTGTACCTTCACAAAATTTGGTAGACTTTTAGTAATAATTCCAAGTCTGTAAAATATACACAACCTCATCCTCCAAATATAAAAACATACAGAAGCTGGGGACAGCATCAACACCCAGGACCCATAGCATGGAAGTGGAGCTTCTTTTAGTGAAATATGCACAATGTCATCCTCTGGACAGGACCACACAGAAGTTGGTGCAACGCCAACCTCAAGGTCCCACTGAACAAAAATGGGTTGTCTCTAGACAATATATGCAGACTTATCCTCCAGATATAGAACCACACAGAAGCTGGGTTCAAAGTCAACCTAAGGGACCCACCACACTGAGGTGGAAGGCATGATTGGAGGATCACATACTGCCTACACCACCACCCTACTCCTCTATAGTCCACCACCACAGCAGCTTGGAACCATAAAGTGGCAAGAACTCCCAAACTCCACTAGAAGAACAAAGGGGGCCATACACAGTGGAGAGTCTGAATGAACACCGACACTACGAGATAGTGCAATGGGTGACCATGAAAACCCAATATTGGAAAGCAAACAGCCCCTAATTTATCTAATAGAAGGAATGGCAGAGATAGGCAGCTATCCCCTTCTGCTTTACCCATGTAAGTCCATGGGTTATTTATGGTCGAAACAAGCGTATTTATGAAGCAAATATATTACAAGGAAAACTTACTAATGATCTAGTGGAGATTTGAGAAATAGGTAACATATCTGTACAGGCAATGCTCACCACTGAGCAGAATCCTAAACCTAAATGGGACATACCACTACAAGGAAAAAAAAATATATATATATATATAGAGAGAGAGAAAAGATAACTTATCTAGTCACAGCCACACCAAAATTTGAAGGATGGCAACAGGCAGAAGGTGGTGGCTGCTTCATTCTTGTTGGGTATGAGGTGTAGTCCACATGCCTGATTGAAGAATGTTCTCCAACGGATGATGGAGATGAGATGCCAGGGAAAGGGTAAGGTGCCGAACCTGATGTGATGGCACCTGGAACAGATTTTGGGAAGAAGGAGACAGGGAGGAATATACCTATCTAATCAGTTGATGAGCCCAATTTGTAAAGGTAGAAGGAAAAAGGTTTCCTACAGAGGAATGTTGCCAGGGGATGAAAAGATGGGAACAGGAACCACCATCATGTGGGCAATGTAACGATGAAGAGCACATAGAGGATGCAGATGTCACCACTAAAGAGAAATGTTTATGAGAGACGGCAAGGGATCAAAATGAGACAAACGAGCAACCAAAGGTGAAAAGGTTGAATTCTGTCTCACAGATTCCACACGTGATTCCAAAGACTCAGGAATATCTCCAAAAACATACTGATGGAGAAAAGGAGCCATCTGCAAGTGACAATACAGCATCCCTCCCAAGAAGATCCTACCAGCAAAGAAACCACATGTGAAGGGATAGGGCCAAGTAGGACAATCGCACCAACATGGAGGTAACGAAAGAAAGTGTATTCCCTGAAAACCCCTCAGGGGGTCGATGGTGTGCCTCAGAAAGAAGGTGTATGTTGAACAAGTACTGTAGGAGAGCTGTAAGGGTAAGATGAAGGCAGGAAAACTGGGCATTGGAGAAACAGATAGGATTTTAAGGGTTAGCTCCCCACACTGGCAAAAGTGACTCCAACTGCTGGGAGTCAAGAAAGGGTTGATCAGCCTTATGATAAGCCTAAGCATAATGATCAGAACCCCATGGAGGATGAAACATGCTAGCACCAGCCCTCAACTGAGAAACAAAGTGCTAAGCCTGTATCCAGATGTCAGGGGAAGGAGGGAAAACAAGGTACTCTAAGGATGGGGTATCGTGTAATAAGGAGGGAACAGGATAATATGAATTTGGTGACATCCATAAAATGGACCACACCTGGGAAATCATATCCAAAAAGACTGAATTAGGCCTGGCAGATTTCACAGGAGAGGGTTAGGAAAGAACAGCGTAGTAAAGTGGAGGAAAAAGGCTGTCAAAATCTTTCCAAATACTGTTAGGAGAAGAAGGTTGACTCATAACAATCAATCTCCTCACAAATGATAGCCAAAAAATCCTCAGCTGAGACTCCCCCGACCTGAAGCCTGTGTAATGGCACTTAAAGTTGTGGGAAGAATATCAGAAGTTGTAACATGAACTTAGAAATTCATCATAAAATGTGAAGAATTTGAAAATGAGAAAAAAAAAGATAAGAAAAGGTACATTATTGGGGTGAAATACTACAGAAAACCAACTGTAGCAAATGAATAATTGAAGTAAATCACTACTTCAGAAAAAACAAATTAACACATGAAGAGATCACAATTTGAAAAACGTCTGCAACAGACCACTACTTAACGAGAATTGATAGTTTGGTAGAATCGAATAGAGGCAGTCACATGCATTAGGATGGTGTTTCACTCTCCTACTGGTGGAGGTTTGTCGCATGGTGATTTATATGTAAAACACATGCAAAAAAATGTTTGCATATAGAGGGCAGCACTGTATGAGAATAGCTATACATGCGAGTAGAGGTAAGGTATGTATCGGAAAATAAAGTTTTGCACATGATCACAATTAACCCTCTTCAGCTTGGTGGCATCATTTCAGCTAATTGCATTTGAATTAATAAATATTGATATATTAGAAACACAAACATTTTAAACAAAGCATGAAAACCACTGAGCATTTTAAAACCTAATTTTTAAAAAAATTAGATATTTTTGATATATTTATACTTTATAATGAAACTATAGCCACTATGTGGGATAACTGTATACTGTACCATTATGCATTATATAAACCCATAACCAATGATCTAAAAGTTGGGTTTCATGAACACACTTATTAGAAAAACACAATATCAACCTGATAAGGTAATACACCAGCCCATTTTGTTGAAAGAAACTTTGTAATAAATGTCTTGTATATCATTGAAACTAATATAGATTATTATTTCTCATTATATCTTACTTTTAAAAGTAACACCTGTAATCTTTTCAGAAGAAAATAAACATAAGCAAACACACAAGGAACAAATAAATCAATATATATAAATAAACTGAAAGCAATATAAAAATATATAAAACAATTACACATTTAAATTGCCTGAAGGCATGCAATCACAAAATACTTCTGACATAGCACTGTAACTCAAGTTTAGAAATTTACTAGCCAGATAAGGAAGAAACAGAGCTATATGGCAAACTGATTAAAAAGAAGAAAATAAAATGCAGTGAGTTCAATTTTAGTTATTGATAGCACAATTTTAAAACTTTACTGTTCCCAAACTATTTGAGTAGAAATAAGGAACAAACATATATAAAGGCAGTATATATATTTGCAGCTTTGTTTCATATGTTGCCAGGTTTCATCTGTGCAGATGGGAGTTTAAATATTTCTACTACCCAGATAAACATTATAATTAGAGAGTGGAGGTAAAACCTAAATTAGGGTTAGCTGTTTGGATTTGTTTTTTTACTTTATCAGAAATGAATGTTAATAAAATATACATCAATTAAAATCTCAGCATTTCAGTTTTTATTTTTAAAACTTCATTATGTCATTTGTCCGTGTAAAAAAAACATGAATTATCAGGCTCAAAAGGGTTAAGATAATGTAAGAAATGAAAGGTCGGATTACAATTTGGTTAACATAACTAAAGTTTTTGAGGCAATCATTTGCATTGTTACCTTTTGCACTAATTCTGAAAACAGTCATCAGTGCTGCATGAACTACAATTAGTTCAGTTGATTCATCTGTCTGCAAAAGCTGGGCTAATACATCAGCAATCTTCGGAACAAATTCTTTGTTTTCTTTACAAAAACTGGGTAACTCCTTTATGGCTTGCTTTCTTATCTATTCCAAAATAAAGATTTCATGTATTTTGTGAATTAGCACGATAAAATGAACATGTAGTTACTTTCTATTCTAAGGTTATAAAATAATACCTACATTTTAAAAAATTCACTTAGAACTGCTACCACTTCTACAAACATAACTTGCAAGTAACAATTAAAAAGTACATTTATTCATAACCTCCATTAAGTAATCCCTTACTATTTCATCTCACTGCTGAAACATCCAATACTTTTTTGGACAACTAAATATACAATACAAAAATATAACAAAAACTACCTTATAATTATCTTGTGAAAAGCTTAACTTTTAACTTAAGGGGAACAAAAGGTGTTAGATAAAGAAAAATACATATCAAAGAACTAGACAAATGATGATTCAAATGTGTTAAATACATCATTCAATGTTATAAATTAAATTATAGCTTAGCAAGGAATAAAATTCAAATTTGCATTGTTGATAAATGTTTGGCTGTAAAAATAAATAAAAGGATTAAAAACAAAATCAGTATCTTATACTTTTAAACAAATATGTCAACTTTCATGTTCTCAAAATTTTACTTTGGTGCATCAGGCCGAGATGTGCACAACTAAAGATTACACATTCGGTGACGAGGAACCCACTTTGAGACTAATAATGGCTGGAGACGGCTCGAATGGGTAATGAGGAAAAACTTTAATATAAGTTTAACATAACAGTAAATGCATAACGTTTCGACAATGATGATAGACAAAACCTTGTCGTAAAAAG